AATAACGCCAAAAACGTTAGAAAAATGTTGAATTTTGACCTCCGGTTGAGGTATTATTATGTAAACAAGACTCGAAGTGACGGGGAATTCTTTACATAGTCATGTGCCCATGTGTTTCTGGGTCACATTTATTTATATCTCAACCAATGAAAAGCTTTAGGATGCAATTGTGTCAGTTATTTTCAGACGGGGGTATTACCCGCGGTTTTTTGGAAACCAACGGAGGTAGTCTTTTGATTTATCATATTTCAATAACGAAGCACTTATTTTAATATATTTTTGGCAGTCGTGTGACAAAATCTATTCTGATGAAGATTAAACCGCAAATACTGTTGGATGATAAGTCGTTTTGATAAATTTATTGTCTGAATCATATGATAAGTTTTTGTTTACACGCTGATTACAGCGCCACCTCGAAATTTTTAGATTATGTCCCCTTTCCCGCGTGACCACCGGAAAGAACTCTTCAATGTCACTGGCTTTCCCACTGCACACTGGTTTGTTGTTATATATTATATTATTACATTGGTTGCAATGAATTACATTGATTTCCCAGTGAAATAAAAACCGATAATTTCACATGTGAAATAAACGTGGTTATTTCACTCCTCTGACGTCATACAATAATAGGCGTTGTCAAGACGTCGATAACGTCGGATCAAAACAAATTTCGATATTTGAATTCTTTGATTAGTTATTCTTTTTATTAAATTGGCAAATGGCTTTTTTTAATGAAATTAATGTAGAAAATGTAAGGAACTATATCTTTTTTCTACTTTAATTTCATTAAAAAGCCCTTTGCCAATGTAATAAAAAGAATAACTAATCAAAGAATTCAATGAATTACATTGATTTCCCAGTCAAATAAAAACCGATAAAATTTTTTTCTCTATTTGAATTCTTCGATTAGTTATTCTTTTTATTACATTGGCAAATGGCTACGCGCATTCGTGAATTAATGTGTTGTTCGGTCACTCGTTGAATATTTTTCGATATTTGAATTCCTTGATTAGTTATTCTTTTTATTACATTGGCAAATGGCTTTTTTTAATGAAATTAGTGTAGAAAATGTAAGGAACTATATCTTTTTTCTACGCATACACAATTTGTTTTGATCCGACGTTATCGACGTCTTGACAACGCCTATTGTTGTATGACGTCAGAGAGTGAAATAACCACGTTTATTTCACATGTGAAATTATCGGTTTTTATTTGACTGGGAAATCAATGTAATTCAATGCTACCAATGTAATAATTATAGAAATAAATTCAAATAGAGAAAAATAATTCACGAATGCGCGTAGCGCATGAGTTAATCATCAGTGTTGTTCGGTCACGAGTTGAATATTTTTCGAAATTTGAATTCTTTGATTAGTTATTCTTTTTATTACATTGGCAAATGACTTTTTTCTGAAATTAAAGTAGAAAATGTAAGGAACTATATCTTTTTCTACGCATTCACAATTTGTTTTGATCCGACGTTATCGACGTCTTGACAACGCCTTTTGTTGTATGACGTCAGAGGAGTGAAATAACCACGTTTATTTCACATGTGATATTATCGATTTTTATTTCACTGGGAAATCAATGTAATTCATTGCAACCAATGTAATAATTATAATTATTACATTGGTAACAATGAATTACATTGATTTCCAAGTCAAATAAAAACCGATAATTTCACATGTGAAATAAACTTGGTTATTTCACTCTCTGACGTCATACAACAATAGGCGTTGTCAAGACGTCGATAACGTCGGATCAAAACAAATTGTGAATGCGTAGAAAAAAGATATAGTTCCTTACATTTTCTACATTAATTTCATTAAAAAAAGCCATTTGCAAATGTAATAAAAAGAATAACTAATCAAAGAATTCAAATAGAGAAAAATATTCAACTCGTGACCGAACAACACTGATAATTCTATAATTATTACATTGGTAGCAATGAATTACATTGATTTCTCAGTCAAATAAAAACCGATAATTTCACATGTGAAATAAACGTGGTTATTTCACTCTCTGACGTCATACAACAATAGGCGTTGTCAAGACGTCGATAACGTCGTATCAAAACAAATTGTGAATGCGTAGAAAAAAGATATACTGTGGATTCATTTATTTTCGTGGATATCAATTTTCGTGGATAGAGAAAAAAAGACGTTTCGTGGTATACGTAAATTCGTGGAATGCTGATTACAAAAAAAAAAAAAATCGGATACGTAATTCGTGGATTTCTTTTTGATTTAGGAGATCATATAACCTCCTTGGTTTGAATAATAATAAAACAAACAAAAAAGAATGAATTCATTGAAAAAGTTTTGAATTGTCAACATCCTCGCTTGGTCATTCTAGGTTAAAGTGTTCATTGAAAACTTCTATTACAATAATGGATAGAGACAACTAATTATTTGTATGTATTACAATTTATAAATTCTTGTCGGAATTTTATAAGGCATTCAAAACTCTATGATTGAAAGCTCATTTCCCTAATCACGATATAATAAACAGTCATATATGTAAAAGGTGTGAAAATAAATGTTCCTGTCAAAAACAATATTACCTAAGGGCAATATCCCCGTACTTAATCCTATTGATTTTTAATCACCAGTAAACCAAACTATGACACGGTAATTAACAACTTGCAGTTTTTTTCCATGAACAATTTTAATCAATTTTAAAAAGTAAATTATCACTGATATTCGATATATTTATTATTGATTTAGTCAAAATACTTCAAGTGTATCTTCATTCAATAAAAACATGTGTTATGTTACAATGTTTATCGCTAGTCAACACTATACTAGAACTGCATAACATAACCGGAAATAAACATCCGACTCCATACACATTTCTCGGGATTATTCTTCGTTGAATTCTTAAATTCGTGGTTCGCTGTGACCCACGAAACCCACGAAAATTGGTATACCACGAATAAACATGAATCCACAGTAGTTCCTTACGTTTTCTACATTAGTTTCATTAAAAAAAGCCATTTGCCAATGTAATAAAAAGAATAACTAATCAAAGAATTCAAATATCGAAAAATATTCAACTCGTGACCGAACAACACTGATAATTAACTCAAAGATTAATTATCAGTGTTGTTCGGTCACATGTGAAATTATCGGTTTTTATTTGACTTGGAAATCAATGTAATTCATTGCTACCAATGTAATAATTTTCGATATTTGAATTCTTTGATTAGTTATTCTTTTTATTACATTGGCAAATGGCTTTTTTAATGAAATTAATGTAGAAAATGTAAGGAACTATATCTTTTTTCTACGCATTCACAATTTGTTTTGATCCGACGTTATCGACGTCTTGACAACGCCTATTGTTGTATGACGTCAGAGAGTGAAATAACCACGTTTATTTCACATGTGAAATTATCGGTTTTTATTTGACTGGGAAATCAATGTAATTCATTGCTACCAATGTAATAATTATAGAATAACTAATCGAAGAATTCAAATATCGAAAAATATTCAACTCGTGACCGAACAACACCTTAATTCACGAATGCGCGTAGCGCATGAGTTAATTATCAGTGTTGTTCGGTCACGAGTTGAATATTTATAGAATAACTAATCGAAGAATTCAAATAGAGAAAAATATTCAACGAGTGACCGAACAACACATTAATTCACGAATGCGCGTAGCGCATGAGTTAATTATCAGTGTTGTTCGGTCACGAGTTGAATATTTTTCGATATTTGAATTCTTTGATCAGTTATTCTTTTTATTACATTGGCAAATGGCTTTTTTTAATGAAATTAATGTAGAAAATGTAAGGAACTATATCTTTTTTCTACGCATTCACAATTTGTTTTGATCCGACGTTATCGACGTCTTGACAACGCCTTTTGTTGTATGACGTCAGAGAGTGAAATAACCACGTTTATTTCACATGTGAAATTATCGGTTTTTATTTGACTGGGAAATCAATGTAATTCATTGCTACCAATGTAATAATTATTATATACAGTTACATGTATATATAATTTTCATCCATTTGTATATCATTATATTCTACTATTCTAATAATAGAGCAGTGCAAGTGCATGGTGGACACTCTTCTGTAAAAATCCGATTTTTTCTAAAAGATTGGATATGAGTAGGCATTCATATTTTCCCACAACAAACAATTACAAAGTTACCGGTCCTTGCCGGGATTATCGTAAAACGTTCTTGAGATAAATTTTCCGCATGCTTTAACACAATTTTTCGGTACGTGTGCATAGATAATATCAATGATTTTTTACTTATATATATATATATCTAACGACAAAACATTTACATATTATTAATTTATGTTCTAAACAAAAATATTTTTATCAGTATTCATTGAAGAGATATATTTATAACAAACGATAAGGAATGTTAGTTTGCACTCGTTAATATCCGCGTATTTATCATGTTTATAGATCGGTTACAAACCCAAAACGAAAGTTACGTAATGGAAATCTAGACGATAGCCATACATCGAAATGCCCTCACAGTCATCGCGATGTAAAAATTAAATACCTCGAAAAGGAGGTCCATGATCTATCAATAATTTTAGCTTATTTTGTTCCTTAACCAATGCTCTTCTGACTTATAGTATCAATTTTAAATTCTAGATTTTTTTTAATTTCACCTAAGTACATCCTTAACATTGAAAATCTGAAAGTGCCAATACGTATTTTGAACGACGCCGGAGATCAGAATTGACATTTCTGTTGCATTTGCTCGCTATGCAATTCAATTCAATCTTCAAAAGTATGTCTATATGTATCTGCACACTTTATACTGTGATACATCTAGGTTTTTAGAATGTTTTTGGTTTCTAAATTTAAAATGGTTGCCTTTCGATCGTTTCTGATAGGTCCAGTTAGAGCGAAATGAGTTTGAATTTTTCCTATCGAAATAATTCATTATTAAAAGCTGCTGGTCAACAAAAACAAATGATTTGATGTTCGTATAGAGTAACATTTTATAAATCGCATTAAACTTGCCCTTGCTGCCCCAAAGTTATCTCGGTAGAAGACCCATTCCATCTGATGAGCCATTTTGTAGAGCAGGGCAAATCTTGTTATGCATCCCCAGTTATGTGGTAGGCTACTTCCTACAATCCTCAACCCGAACACTTCAGTTAGATCTGGAAATGAAACTTGGAAAAATAGTTTTTTTATCGTCTGTTTGTGTTTGTTCCTGGTGTTAGTATGGAAATGGTATGGTTCCACTGTAAGACCACCATTTGCTCGCCAAGCCTGACTCGAATCTCCTGTAGCCGTGAACACATCGCTAGGTGGAATTCCAGTACTGGAATAACGCCATTTTGGTTTAGTCTTGCAAATTAGCGCTAATAAAAAAGAAAGTAATGAAATAATTCCAATAAAAGACACCTTATTGACATAAATACATCTATGATTTAAATGTTTTGGTATTTGATTTAAGAGCATACAATACAATTTTGATCCCACGGTGACTTTTTTACGAAAATTTGCATACAAGCTATTTTTCACCTAGTCAATTTAAATATGTAATGAAAAATATACCTTCATGTGCTACTTCACGAGATAAATGGGGTCGAAATTTTAGACAATTACTCAAAATTTCGTTTTTTTGGACATTTCTATCCTTTGGACATGTTGGATAAACATACCTAACTATTTTGATTCAAAAGATAAACACAAGCGGATTTTTGTAAAAACATTTGGAAAATCTTCTTTACATAAGTATGCTCTAAATTTGTATAAAACATTTTTATCAAAGTTTCATGATTTTAGAAAAAAAACGGCATTTTTTGTTGTATATTTATCTAATTTAAAAAAAAATTCATCGGTGACTTTTTCATATTCAAAGTACTGAAGTACTGAACATCGGATGACCGCAAGTTCTTGTGGATAGTCACAAAGTGACAAACACTTGTCTCAGAAAAAAAATTACATCAGTATACCTGAAAGTGAGGTTAATGTACAGATATATTATATTTTTTTTCTGAGACAAGTTCGTGCGTGGATGATGAATAAATGACAGGGAATTCAACGTCACCATAATAACTATTATATTGTAGTGATACAAATCAGTATAGTATAATTACTCTGGTTTTTGTCATGTATATATTATATTAATGTTTGTATATAACAGTTACATGTATATATAATTTTCATCCATTTGTATATCATTTTATTTTACTATTCTAATAATAGTGCAGTACAAGTGCATGGTGGACACTCTTCTGTGATAATTCGATTTTTCTAATAGATTGGATTTCAGCAGGCATACATATTTTTCCGCAAAAAGTTGAATCATATTGCCGTAATTTGTGCTGTGTACATACTATTTTTTTATTAATATCTTTTAATATTTTAACGCACCAAAGACATTATAAACTCTTGTTTAATTCACCTGAACTAATTCTATTTTTGAATTATATTCTATTATATTATTGTAAATATAAAGATATCCGCTTTTCGGTTGAGTAAATATTTTAAAATTGCTCATCCGATAAGTGGAGTGCTCCGAATATAAACGGAGGTGCATACCTGAACAGAACAGATATTCTTCCGCATGCGTTAACACAATTTTTCTGTACGTGTGCATAGATATTTATAATGATTTTTTACTTAACTTTATATATATATTTCTAACGACAAAACATTTTCAATTAATTTATGTTCTAAACAAAAATATGTTTATGAGTATTCAATGAAGAAATGAATTTATAACAAGCGACAAGGAATGTTATTTTGCACTCGATAATGTCCGCTTATATAGACCGGTTACCAGTCAAACACGAAAGTTACGTAAGAAGAAATATCGTCGGCAACAATACATCGGAATGCCCTCACAGTCAGCGCGATGTAAAAATTGGGACAAATAATCTTCATACGTAAACAAACCTTACGTCATTTTAAAAAAGAGGGGTCCATGAACTCGTTTTCAAGTTAAATCAGTCTGAATGATGAAAATCGGTCGAAAAATGCATCTTTTCCCAATATGTCACAGGTTGACGTCGCGAAAATAACATTTTACGTTAGCAACGTCATTACCTCCCCTGTAACTGTATCGTATGCCCTTAAGGTACATCATATTTCTTAAGAACGTGTGTATATTGCGTGAGAGAGAGATAGAGAGAGGACCAATTTCCCCTAACTTTATTTTACAATAGGGCAATTTCTAAAAGTCTGTCATGTGTGCACTTTAAGAATCTTACAACCTAATGGCTTATTCTAAACAGTTGACTTAACCATTACTGTCTGAAGATGGCCCAAAACAGTAAGTTTGACAAAATTGGCCAATTTTGAGTATTTATTAAATAAAATGTATAAGAAGGACGTTCATAACCAAATCAAAAATAATGTTGGAAGTAAAGTTGTATATTAATTTATATTTAGTACAATCATGAGGGTATAATTGTCTTTATGGTGTTTTCTAGATAAATACATATTTTAGTGTACAAGCATATGTAATAACTCTTATAAACTGGATTTAAAATTAAAAACACGTAGGCCTGATGATATTTTTAAAATACGGACGCACACATTACATACCGATAAATACATTATTTTATGTAAGAACCTTTGTAAAAAATAAATGCAATTATGTTATTCCTTTATTAAGGGGACGACCATTTGATTTTCTTTGGAGGGAAAGTGTGAGACAGGATATATTCATTTATTTTCCTCTGTTGCTACGCATGCTTTTTTCCCGCGCGAACATTTATTTTCATTTTGTACATATTATATCCCCAACTATCCAGCATTATATGTCGCAGAATATTCATTTTAATTCTGTCTTGTGAAAAGTAATTTATTTTCAGTTCTTACCAAGACAAGTTATTCATTTTGAACACCATCCCCACACCCCTTTCCCAACTCTTCCCCAGCAAATCAAATGGTCGTCTTCTAGCCCTTACCGGTATCACGGCTGGCATTCAGTATATCGAGAACAATTATCATGAAAGAATAAGTAACGGTGGTCAAGTATTGTGATTGGATCGTGAAGGAAATCTTAAGGATGTGAAGGAAGACACATGCAACGTCAGTAAATAATCTAATTTAATGAATTGTAATGACATATATTGGAAAAATAAAACTGTCTGTCAAAATGGATCAACATTATGATCAGTATTTGAGAAAAATCAAGTTTCAAAAGTACACCGTTTTTATAAAACTACAAAAGGTAAATTGCTCATCGAAATTTCAAAGAAATAAAAATGAAAACAATAATGATTTTTTTCATATTTTGAATGCATAACTACTTTTTTTCGTTAAAATATCGTTTTATATTACTGTTTAAAATGGTCCTTAAAGTTTTTTGTTTAGTTTAATCAAAAACTTCGCAAAAACGGAAATATTTGTAAAAAAAATGATATTTCGGATCGTGAAAGATCGGGTACCAATTTTTGATGATCGTGAAAAAGGATCGTGATAGATCTGTTGCCGCTTATTCATTATTGCAAAAATCCACAAAAACGATTAAATCATTCTTTAAAGGGTGACATGATTATTTATATTTGTAATTGGTATAGCAACAGATTGTATTTGCGAGACTTATTCTGCTTCACTTTTGTTTGTGAATAGAGCTATGTCTTAGATTCATGAATTCTTTTATTACACTAATTTTGTAGTTGTTATTGGCTTTGAACTGGCTGCCAGTAACTGCGATTACTCTCATAAATGTACTTTGTGTCTTTTTTGCTGTGAGGGATGCAGAAATACCATGCCACGTCCGGTCTGTATTTTTGATAGATGTTTTTTTCTGCTTTGAATCGATCTGATGAGTTAAGCCGTTTCTCGATTGAATTGTTTCATATTTTTCATGTCGGGGCCTTTTATAGCCGACTATACGGTATAGGTTTTTTTCATCGTTGAAGGCCGTACTTTTGCCTATAATTTCTTACATCCACTTCATTTGAACTTTGGTGGATAGTTGTCTCATTGCCAATCATATCACATCTCCTTATTTTTACTATGATAGCTTAATGTCATTGAATCTGATTGTTTGATAATATCACATCGACTTGTTGCTTTATAATAATATAAGTCCGTCTGTCCGTCCTGCATAAGTTTTAAGTCGTATGAAAAGTTAAGATGGTCTCATCTGATATCCATTAGTTTTATGCACAGTCATATCTATAAAACGAAGATCCTTGTTGATTTTTGTAAAAATTAAAAAAAAAAACATTGTTTAAAAAACCGCAGGAAAACAACGGTCATATTCCTGACTTGACACAGGCATTTTCTTTAGTTAATGGTGAATTAAACCTGGTTTTCTATCTTCCTAATAATCCCACCTGTACGACAGTTTTTTTTTAATGTTCCGTTATATTGCCAAATTGGGTGAGCAACTCAAACAGACATAAATGGTTAACGCGGCCATAACTGGGATCCAGCAGCCAAAACTGTGTAAACTTACATCACAGACATACAACACAACTGAATTAAACGTTCAAACACACTTACAATTAATTCAAACAAAGACGCCAACAAAAAAAATCTTTGTAGTTAATAATGCAGTCAGTATAATAAAGTATAATGACATATACACTTTCCCGATAAAATACAAAATAAGTAAAATATAAATACAAGGTTATACAAAACAGGGGTGACCTTCCGTTTACGGATTCGGACCTTCACACAGGTAGTTAGGTACACCATCTTTTCCGCAAGTTAATTGTTTTTCTGTTCGGTATTAAATTAATAGTTAAGATCCATTTTGTTACATCTGGTGATCCGTTTATTTGGTAATCGCCAATGGCAGTCAGCAGAGTTTAAGAACATCCGTTGTTCGACCTGCTAGTCAAATGCGTTTTGTTAAAATATACTTTTTCACTTTTTTTGTCTTTTGGAAAATGTTGTTTGTGTTGTATTTAGACCCCTCTACCAAGAAGTTTGTTTTGCATGCACACGTATAAAAATTGCGGTTTTTATCCAACGCAATGAGTAGGTTTGAACGTTGTTTTCAATTTAGACTTGTTTATATTTTTTCGTTTGGGCTTGTATTATATTTGCCTTCGGGTTTATATGATCCGTTCATCCTATTTTGACCCTACAAAATTCAAGAATCTATCCTAAATTGGGATAAATTATATGGCCTTCCAAATACCGTTTTGATTCCTAACATCACTGAAGAGACATTAATTGTCGAAATCCGGATATGGTGTACTAATTTTTGCACCTATTTGTTTGCGGTATACCATCTTTTCCGCAAGTTTATTGTTTTCTGTTTGGTATTAAATTAATAGTTAAGATCCATTTTGTTACATCTGGTGATCCGTTTATTTGGCAATCGCCAATGGCAGTCAGCAGGGTTTAAGAACATCCGTTTTTCGACCTGCTGGTCAAATGCGTTTTG